AAGGAGCGAATAACAAGGAAGCGAAGTTGGAGGCTCATTCCCCTTCGCCTTGTCCAGTTGCCCTTCAGTTTCCTGTAACATGTAAATGTCCCGTCTTTTGGCCCGTGTTCCCCCTCCGTGATATTTAGAGTGATAATTGAGAATGAAATTGTCAGAGTAATTGTTTTTTCTGGGCGGCGGCTGGGAGTGGGCAATTATTGTTTTTATTGGGCGGTGGCCAAATGTGTGCGGCGGCAGCTTGGAGCTGCTGCCGGACGATTTCCGGCTAGTTTATTGTTTTTTTGGATATCTTTAATATTGTTTTAATAAATAAATTTTACTTGGCGTCACACTCCCCTCGCCAGACGGGCCCTACCCATCTCCAGCTCACCCCTCCGTTACAAATCAGAATTCTAAGTACAGACAAAAGCTTACCTTTATTTCACTGACTTTCACGCTGCCTAGCGTTGTTTTCATCCAATCCAATAAGTCTTTTTTATCCACATCGCGCACTGTTGTTGCTAAAAAAAACCGAAAAGCATATTCTGTTGCCAACAAAAACACTGCATGTAAACACGAAAGAAATCATAAAGTCGTCGAAATGTGCAGGAATCTGCGCAGTAGTAGGCAAATTCTGGTGTTATGCAAATTTACATAAATACAAAATTAAACCGCCAGAAAGCATCATTTATCATTTCCTACCTTTACAAATAGTCAAGAAGAATATAATACACCCAAATTAACAGATCCGAAATTCAGATCGCTTTTTAAAAGAATTTAAACTATGAACTCTTCTGTCATCATAACAAGGTCAGCATGCAGAATTATGCAAATTTCAGTACTCCGAACCTTGAATATCTGGACATCAACTCCTTTGCAATAAATCTGATCAGAAGCCATTTTACGCAAGCGAGTATCTTCAATTAAGGGAATGCAAATTTGCGCAAACTTACTGGTGGTTTGCGTTTCACTTCCCGCTCCGCTCCAGTTTTCTACGGATTTGATCGATTTCATATGGAATTGTTGCAGTGCAAGCAACGAAACTTCATCGGCTGCATCGTAAGCAAAAAGAACTTCACGATTCTGGGATTTGAACATTTCATAATACGGCGAGTGTTCGGCGAGTTGACGACTGCAAAACTATATATACAATGGATCAAAAGCCTCCAAGACCGTTCGAACTATTGATGCGAGGGCCGATGCAGCTAGAAGACGCATGAAGCTAAATGAGACTATTCAACCGAAGCCGTACCTTCACAGGATTAGGACCGGAAACGTGTGAGAAGATAACTAAAATGCTCGCAAAAAATACATCCTATGATAAAAATGACTTCGCCTCGCGGAACTGTGTGTCTAGTCCGTTGGCGGATCTGAGGGGGAGGGGAGGGGGAGGGGATGGAGCGGTCTTTCACCCCCTACGCGCCCCCAGGTTGTTAGGCAGCAGTTGTTTTACTGTACAAAAGTCTGCTCGATACCCTCTGTCGCCTCCCCCTAAGGGGCATTCGACGGGAGGGCGTGTAGTGGGACGACGGACAGGAGGGGGGAGGTTAGTGCGGCGAGTGAAGGGTGGGTTAGGAGGTGCCCGAGGAGGGAAGAGTGACGAAGAGAGAAGATGGGGTAAAAAATCGCCGCCCCCCCCC